TGCCTCTTTATTGAAACCTCCGGTGGCATCATGAGAAACTCACTAAATTATCTATTAATGAAAAGCTGGATAGCAAGAAATAAGTAATAAGGAGATTTTTATCTCTTTGACAGTCTTTTAATAAAATAAAATGAAAGGAAAGTGAGTTAATTTCGATTGATGAAAGAAACATGAATTTCATTAAGTTGGAAAAACAAATTAACACTGTTTAGGGCAAAGAACATTCCTCTGTACTTCTTGGTTAGAGGTATTGTGATTGTCTATTTCTATATTTGGTTTTTCTAAGATTACCGTAATTTCTTTCTTTTCTTTCTTTCTTTTCTTTTCTTTCTTTTTTTTTTTTTTGTGGCATGTGCCCCTAGCGGGAACTGAACCCAGGACTCTCTGGTCTGCAGGCCAACGCACAACTGCTGAGCCAAACTGGCCAGGGCAATCACAGTAATTTCTTACTTATAAGGGCTTATTTCTAGTGATAACCACAGTGCCTGACACAGTATTTCTGCTCAATAAAATGTTCTTTAATGGATGGATCAGAGATAATATATGAGCCCTTTATGAAGGACTTCATTATCTACTTGGGAAGAGAAAACACAAATATGCACAAAAATAAATTATGCTTCTTATCATTTTATGCATTGTTAATTTTTCACTGTTATTAACCTTTTAATTACTACTAGTTTTGTGGTATTTGCAACAAATCTTAAAGGTGGTCAAATATGTTATTTGTACCCTGGAATATGTCTAGTTTTTCTAATACTCCAGCCTCAAGCTTTCTTTCCAATTCTGCCTGATGTACTTGTCTTCCTCAATAGTTTAACCCTGATTCATCCTTCAAGTTCGAGTAGAAAAATCATTTTCTCCTGAGGGTTCTCTGTGATTGCCTGGGTTAAGTTATCTGGCCCTGCTGCATGTTCCGGTGCAATATTCCTTGTACATGTAGTCACTCTTCCTGGATGTCTTCCCTGACAGAGTGAGCCCCAAGAGGGCAGGAGCAGCCTCCATCTTGTTCACCTCTTCCCCAGAGCTTAGCATGACAGGTGTTACGCAAATGCTTGTATAATGAACACATACCTTCCCATTGTGATCATCTTGAGATAGGTAATGGGTTCTGGAGAATTGGAGCTGGCTGGGGAGCAGAGAACTGGAGTAGAAAAGAATGTGCTCAAGGTGTGTGGTCCATGGACCTGCAACACTAGCATGGCCTGGAGTGTATTAGAAATGCAGCTTTATAGACCCCAGACCTGGGTGATTTGTATGCACCTTCAAGTTTGAGAAGCACTGCTTTCAGAGGCTTCATCTGACTACATGACACCAGGAGAGATGGACCTTGGGAATTACTCCACTCGGGAGAAATAAAACCTTGAAGAGGCATGGATAACTGCCTGGAAGTGGGGACAGGGATGGCCCCAGAGACCCTCTAGAGGATACTGTTTCTCTTAAAACCAAGGCTTGAGTTCTAATTCAACCCATTTGGACCTCATAGAATATAAGGTAACTGATTACCTTTGTCTGGGGAAAATACTGTTTGTCATTGACACCATGGAACTAGGTCTCTCCTGACCTATTTGTCGGTTGCACATTGAGAAGGGATAGTCAGCATGCATTGGACCCAAAGCTTTAGATGTCCAAGCTCCTGGCTGAGTTTGCATTGCTTGAGCCAATCAAAAGAGATCTTAACAGATCTTTTACAACTATCTTCTCCACCCATCCCACCTCACCCTACTGAACATGTGATTCGCTAAGAGGGTAGGTGAGGAAACAGAGTGTCCACAGCTAAGAAGCCTGCAGCTTCAGAGCCCTGTCAATGGAGGTAGATAAGTAGGGTTTGTCACAGAGGATGCCAGCATAGGCTATCTGAAGGGTGAGGCGACGGGGACATGGGTTCAAGGTTCAGACCCAGGGGCTGTTATACCAAAGCAAGAGAGATGGAAGTTTCCAGAATCCACGTCAGAGTTCGATCAAGATTTTTTTTGCCACCAGTAACTTCTCAGTCACAGACATTTGCAAACCTTTTTCTAGACTGAGGACAGCTGAAACGAAGGATACTTTGGTAGCAGATGGATACATGGACGGGAGTGGGATGAGATGGAGGTTTGCTTCAGGCCCATGTCAATTCACCAAAACTGGAGCCAGTCCCCCACCATAGCACCCTAACCTGAATAGAAGCACATGATACAATTGTTTCTTGAAAAGTCACCCTACATTACTTCTTTCTAGTTTTTGTTCTCAGAGGTGGCTTTCCTGGTGCTCTGAATAAAAACACCTGTTTTACTTTGAGCCACCTCAGCTTGTTGACTGGTAATATTTTTTTTCCTTTTCTTTAATTTGTTTCTAAGTATTTTATTTATTTTGATGCTAATATAAATGGAATCTTTGAATTTTATTTTCTAATATTTTGATAATAGTATAAAGGATTACAATTGAATTTTCTATCTTGATTCTGTATCAGCAGTGTTTCTAAATGTAATTTTTTTTTTTTTATCTTCACCCGAGGACATTTTTCCATTTTTTATTCAGGTAGAGTGGGAGGGAGAGAGAGGAACAGAGAGAGAGAGAGAGAAACATCGATGTGAAAGGAACACATCGAGTGGCTGCCACCCGCACAACCAACCAGGGCCGGGGACAAACTGCAACCGAGGTATGCGCCCTTAGTGGGAACCGAACTCAGGTCTCTCAGGACCGCAGGCCGACGCTCTAACCGCTGAGCCAAACCGGCCAGGGCCTAAATGTAATTTTTAAGTTTAATAATAGGTGTTTTCTAATTATGGTTTGCAGTCTATATTATTTTTTATTAGTTTCAGGTGTACAGTGCCGTGTCTCAGCCGGCCGGGATGGGTGCAACGCAATGAAACTACAAGCACACGCTACTTGGAGTGAGGGGGAGATTTGCAAGGTAGCAAAATCTCCAGTTCTCTGGACGCAGTCCCATTTATTTGCAGGTTCGTACCCCCCAGGTTACAAGTGTTTTCAAGTAAATTATATCCTTGAGATGGCATTACTGCATACACCCTAGCTTTGTCTCTTGCTTTTTTTTTTTATCCTCACCCAAGGACATTTTTCCATTTTTGTACAGACAGAGTGGGAGGGAGAGAGAGGAAGAGAGAAAGAGAGGGAAACATCGAGTGGCTGCCACCCGCACGACCAACCAGGGCCAGGGACAAACTGCAACCGAGGCACATGCCCTTAGCAGGAACCAAACCCGGGTCTCTCAGGACCGCAGGTGGACGCTCTAACCGCTGAGCCAAACTGGCCAGGGCTGTCTTTTGCTTTTTACAGGAAGAGACCTTGAAGCCAAAACAAACCTTATTCACATGCAAATGAAGCACCCAGTACACCTGGGCCAGGTCCCGCCTCCCCCCTCCCCAGCTAGGATTCTGAGAATGTATTAACATAATGAGAGTGCTTAACACAAGGTCAAAAGAGGTCTATTTTCCAACCCCCCAACCCCACAGTACAGCATTGTGGTTAGACAATCATACACTTTACAAAGTGTTCCATTGATATTCCCCGTAACCACCTGGCACCATGCATATTTATTACAATATTATTGACTATATTCCCTATGCTGTATTTTATATCCCTTTGACTATTCTCTAACTACCAATCTGTACTTCTCAATCCCTTCACTTTTGTCACCTAGTGCCCCAACCCTCTCCCCTCTGGCAACCCTCAATTTGTTCTCTGGATCTATGAATCTATTTCTGTTTTGTTTGCTTATATTGTTCATTAGATTCCACATACAAGTGAAATCATAGGGTACTTATCCTTCTCTGATTGACTTATTTTACTTAGCATAATACCCTCTAGGTCCCTCCGTGATGTTGCAAATGGTAAGATTTCATTCTTTTTATGGCCTAGTAATATCCCATTGTACATATGTACTACAGCTTTTTTATCCACTTGTTTATTGATAGGCACTTGGGTTGCTTCCACAGCTTGGCTATTGTAAATAATGTTGCAATGAACATAGGCGTGCACGTAGTCTTTCGAATTAGTAAACACCTGTAAATTTGTTGAATCACCCCTATGTTTGGCAAAGTCAAGGTCCCCAGATTAACATTCCAGGGCCATAAATAACTCCCCTTGTTTTTTAATGATGGGGCTCTAAATTCCACCCTGCCCATGTAAGTCCTTGCCCCTGTACCACCAGTTTCCTGTGTTCCTGACTCAACAGTTTCCAGCACTGACATACTGATTTGCTCAAGGAACAATGGCTATTTTGATCATTGCAAAAGTGAGGCAATTTAAGATTGTCTTTAGGTTCTGCATTTGCAATATGAGGGACCAGCCTTCCTCAGTTAATTATAGGCATAAACGAAGGTGAAGTGGGGAAAGAAGTGGGTATTTGAAAGGAAGATGAGAGGTCTGAGAATCCCACTCAAGTATATGGAAAGATAATGGCAATACTGTGTGGTGGGTCAAAGTGGGTCTCAGAATCTTACTGTTGTTGTTGTTGTTTTTCTCCTTTCTGGCTTTTTAATCTTGCCTTCAATCCTAACTGCTTTATCTCACTTTCTTCATCTGTAAAATGAGTTGTTGTAAGGTTTAACTGGAATCATGTAATGTAATGCACTTAGGTGCCTGGTACCTGGAAAGAACCTGATTAATATTTGCTATTATCTATATTGCCCCATTCTCTGAAGTAATTGGGGTGCTGGAGGAAGGCACCCCAATCTGCCATCCTCCCAACCCCCAAGCTCAATCGCGCACTAGAGAGGCTAATGGGAAAGTACTGTGCCAAGGGGTGGTAGCTACAGAAAAGTACTTTAACAGGTTTCAGGTGATCTCTCCACCTAAGAATCCACCCTCCCCCAGTTTCAGCGGCAGGGCGGCAGGGCGGCGCGGCGCGGCGCGGCGGGGCGGGGACAGTGACCCTGGGCTCCACCAGGCCAGCGCGTGAACCGGCGGGCGGTACTCTGCTGTCTCGTGTCCAGGGCGGGCAACATAAAACCTCTGCAGAGGCAGAGGGGCATCGCGGCCGGCGGGGGCGGAAACCCAGAGACCAGAGCAGCGGGCACCCGGGAGGCCTGGAGAGGAGCGAGCGTCATGGGCAGCAAATGCGACGTGGTCGTGGTGGGGGGCGGCATCTCAGGTCAGTTGCGGCTGAGCGCCTTTCCTCCTCCTCCAGCACTGGGTGACCATGGTGGGGGGGGATCCCATGAGTCCCTAGATTCTCCGTGCAGAGGCTGGGACCTAGCGAGTCCAGAGCGCTGCGCACAGAACCCTCCTCCTGGGGAGAGATTTGGTGCGCCCCGGACAGAGCATGGGGCTAGAAGTTTGGGGCTAGGCTTTGAATTTCTTCCCTGGAAAGCTGCTAAGCCTATGTTTGCTGTAATTTTTGAACGAAGGGGAAAGGTGGAGGGCTTTGGGTTAGCGCAAAGGTCTGTCACTCGCCCCAAACAAAGCAGGAAAACGAGCTTGAACAGCTCCTTCAGAAAGAAGGGGTTGGACTCTGGGGCAATCGATTGCCAAAGACCCTTCTAACACAGATTTTCTGTGATTCCATAATTGTAGAGGGTGTACCTGGGGATGTAGGGCCTTCATGGCAAGTGTCTCTTTACTCCTCCTCCCCCATCCTACCCCTTGCCCTCCACTAGCGGAGGCCACTGGGGTAGAAAAACTTGGCTCTCTGGTCCAATCCATATTTGGCAGGGATGGGGACAGAGACTACTTTCTCAGAAACTCAGAAATGGAGGAGTGGGTGTGTGTGGCTGCAATTTGCACAGCAGGGTCCCCAAAGACAGAAGTCAGAAGGAAAGTTGGGGTCAGTGGGGGAACCGACCCTCTGAAGGGAGTGAGTTGGATCATATGGTGTGGGGTCAGTGGTAATAAGCAATGCTTCCAGAACAGTCTGTTAAACAGACCCCTGGGGATGCTCTGTCCAAACTTCCAGGGCTTCCTGGTGCTTGAGCAATAATCAGGACACCCATGGATGTGTTGGCTAAGACTTGCTCTGACCAGATCTCAGGAGCAGGGGTTGGCCTTGCTCCCTGTGAGGCTGGCAGGGCACAGGTGCTCTGATTCTGCTGTGCCTGGTGAGGAAATCAAAGCATTGGATGTTTGGTGCTGACTCAGGTCCTGGGCAGCTTCTCCACTTCTACCTTCCTCACCTTTAAGTCATATCTCAGGCTACCACTTCTGTCTGCCTGGACCTCCTGAGCTCACACATGCCAGTGGTTGTGCCCGGTGCTACAGGTACATAGATGCATAAACAGCATGGTGAGGTGGGCCAAGGCTACACAGATTTAGTTTTCTTTGAGCATTTTTGATATCTTCTCTCCTGGAGGAATTTGGACTTAAAAGCACATCTACCTAGGTGTTTTAGAAAGTATTACTAAGTGTTTCTTGATGCTACCTTGCAAAGCATCCCATCTTATGGCAGTGGAAGGTTCTCTTTCCAGGCCCCCAAAGTGTTTTTTCTTGCCCAAAATATGTCTAAAGGGTTCAGATTCTTCTATCTCCCCCTTATTTTGCCATTTCTGATTTGTACCCCAAACCTTCAAGCTCACTCAAGTTATTTGTATTAAACTCATATGTGAAGGATATAAGGGTTTAGCTATTTTTACAAGCAGTGGTGAATCTCTACATTCACCCCAAACACAAAAAAAACAAGGCACTTCTAAGTAGATCTTCTATGTCTCAAGAACATTACATGGATGGGCATTGTTCTAAAAACCACGAAAGCAGGGTTCCAAGGCTCTACTCAGTCACTTTGTCTGCTACATGAAGATAACACCAATTTGTCATGGCTAGGGTCATTGCGAAGATCAAGTGAAGCAATGAGTGTGAAGATAGCTTTGTAATTTTAACATATGACACAATGTCCTACAAGAGTTTTGCTCATTTATTCAAACAACAGACATTAAAGTATACTATGGTCAAGGATGCAAACATGGATCACATTGTTATTGCCATGGAGATTTGTCAATCCAGGAAGGTAGATGACATACCCAAAACAAAGACAATATAAGTTAGAAATATAAGGTACAAAGGCAATATAAGGTACAAATCACCAAAAGGGTCCATTCATTAATTCATTCAATGAGCATTTACTTTCTGTCCCACATCTTATCCCCAAGAGAATGAAAGGTGAGTTATACAGGGCTATTGCCCCTGGGGAGCTCACAAGCTGATGTGGCAGGTAGAGTCATGAAAAATTAGTACTAATGACCTATAATGATAGATGCTTAAGTAGTGCATGCAAAAAGTTCTAGAGAAAATGATTAGAGTGAACATTGAACTCTGAGAAAATCTGGGAAGACTTCACAGAGGAGGTGACAGTTGAAGTAGATCTTAAAGAATGAGTATGAATTCACCAGAGGACTCCATGAAGAAAGCATCTTAAGCTAAGGAACAGCTTCAGAGGGGAGGGGTGTGAAGAGATAGGAAAAAAAAAGGTGAATGGGCCCTGGTGGGGTAGCTCAGTTGGTTAGAGTGTTGCCCTGATACTCCAAGGTTGTGGGTTCAATCCCTGGTCAGGGCACAAAGAAGAATCAACCAATGAATGCATAAATAAATGGAACAACAAATCAATCTCTTTTTCTCTCAGATCAATCAATAATTCTTTAAAATGTCAAAAGGATTAAGAGGCACACATTTCTAGTTATAAAATAAATAAGGCATGGGGATATATAGCATAGGGAATATTGTCAGTAATATAATAATTGAACGGTAGCAGATGGCTACTAGACTTATGGTGATCACTTTGGAAGATATAGAAATGTCAATCTATGTAGTACACTGGAAAATAATATAATATTGTATGTCAACTATAACTTGAAAAATTAATTAATTTACAAAATCACAAAGATGTAAAAGAACATGGTAACATGCTTAAGAAACCTTGAGAACTTCAGTGTGAAGTGTTCAGAGGTCTGGTAGGAGGCCAAACTACAAAGGTCGGTTGGGATGAATTGTGGGGAGTCTTCTATGTCATCCTCAAAAGGTTTAGTTCTCTACGTGGTAATTGAGTGGCCACTGAGGATTTTTTATTCACAATGTGACGTGTACCAAGTGACAATGTTAAGCAAAAAGAGGGACATGAGGAAGATAACAGCAGATTTTAGAGGAAGATGAGACATCTGGTGTTGGAAGTACTGGAAGGACACCCAGGGAGAGATGTCTAGCAGGTGGAAATGCAGGGGAGAAATGGGGCTTACAGAGGAGTTTTAGTTGAAATCACTGAAGTAAATGAAATGACCCAAACCAAGAGTGCGGAGGAAGAGTGGAAGTCCAGGACAGAACTGGAAGACAGGGTGCTTTTCTCCATCCAACACACGAAGGAAGATATTTCAGTCATTCTCCATAGTTTGATGAGAGAGATGAGGAAACACGTTGCTAACCTCAGCTCTTAGCTCAGATATCATTTCCCAGGATGGCCTTCCTGAATCCCCCCCAGATGGGTTTAGATGCTTCTGTTTAACTCTTCTCTCTCACTTTGTTCTTTTCCATGAGTTTTTAATTGTTCACATATTAGTGTAATCACAGGCATACTTTGTTTTATTGCACTTTGCTTTATTGTGCTTTGCAGATAGTGTTTTTTTTACACGTTGAAGGTTTGTAGCAATCCTGTGTCAAGCAAGTCTATTAGCACCATTTTCCCAACAGGCTCAGATGATGCTTAGCATTTTTTAGCAATAAAGTATTTTTCAGTTAAGGTGTGATTGTTTTTTAAAGGTATAAAGCTAATAGATTACTTAATAGACTACTGTATAGCATAAACAGAACTTTTATGTGCACTGGAAAACCAAAAAATTTCATTTGACTCGCTTTCTTGCTATATTCACTTTATTGTAGTGGTCTGAAACGGAACCCTCAATATATCTGAGGTATGCTTGTATATTTAATATCTTCCTTTTCCACTAGACTAAGCCTCTGGATCCCAGAAAGGTATATTGTTTCCTCCCCAGAGAACCTCTGACCCCCAGCTCCAGAGCTCTACTTAGCCTAGTTAACACTCAATGAATATGTTGAATTAATGCACTTTACACCAACAAAATAGCAACTGATTGGATCTGAAATTCACATTCATTTACTACCAGTGCTTTTGCAGTTCCTGCCAAATCATGTTAAGGATACGAAACATAGTAAAATCAGAATTTTAGAATTAGTTAGGTTACCGACTCAATGATTTACATTTACGTGTTTGAATTTGATTCTGATTTTTAATCTTTGTTAATTATTAAAGTTGGTATATTCTGATAATACTCTGATAGTTTTTTTGAAGCTGTCAGCAAATTTTAGTCACTCCCATTGAGATAAATAGAGATGTACTGGGGTATCACTGGTTAATATATAACTTTTTTGCTGTTTGAAAAATTCCAAGGTGATTGTGAAACAACGTTTTAGAAATGTGTGTGATATCTAGATGCATACCTACTGAGAGGTCTTTCACCCAAGGAGCAAGTCATCTCTGGAGTCTTGGAAGAGTAGCAGCATTTTCCAGATAGAACTGGATTGCAACATATTGTTTCTTGCCCACATCTTAGTTTTAGTGTTTGGGATGGTAGAACCATGGAAACTATGTTTTATAATTCTGAAATGGCTCTTGCTCAATCCTCAAAATAAAAGCTGATAAAAAGGGAAATTTGAAGTAGAAAGGAGAAAATGATTTTCCGGCTTGAGAGAGGAGACTCAGCCATCTGAGGGTGGCAGGCACTTGGCTAAGATCCTGAAAGAGTTGGAGCCAGCCTTCAAAATTGTAAGCAACACCTGGCAGGTGATCTGTGCACTCAGGAGAGAGTCCGCTGCAGGCTGCCAGGACTGGTCTGGGCAGGGAGTGTCAGAGATGGCACTCGAGGGATCATGAGTTGAGTGAGAGACATGGTAAGCAGAAATGGCTTGTGTATTAATGACAAAAACCACATCCTCATCTTGGATGAAGAAAGATGGAGAACATCCCTGGGCTCCTATAACCTACCTAAAATTAAAAAAAAAAAAAAAAGATATATAGAAGAGCTTGGTAATTTGGCTGTCCCATTCAAAGAGAGGATATAGAGAGGCTGTATGGTGAAGTAAAAAGAGCATATACTTTGATGTCAAACAGCTACGTTGTGAATTCCATTTCCTGTACTTACCTACTGTGTCACCTTC